ATTTGAGCGATGGTGAAAGTAATGGTTGTTAATCTCAACTTGTGTATATGGATTTGGGGTGTATAAGCAGTTTCCAGTGCAAAATGTAACTTGCCTTGAGTCATATTGAATCTTTTGATCTGAAATCATCAAAACAAGGGGGGGAAAGCCAACTATGCAGCATTTTTCTGTCAAGTTATCAAACATAAAATTCACTTACTGTACCAAAACTGCATTGCTTTTCAAACTTAAGCTGATCCAGACCAGAGCACATCAGAGCAACTTAAGCTGAAATTGGTAGAATAAATGGAAATTTTGTCTTGGCCCTAAACATGTGCTGTTTCTTTGCAGGATTCTGTATTCTTTAATGTCCACTTTTTTTTAATTAATATGCATAAAACAACATCACTACATTTTAAGCTATGGATTTTTTTGTATATTCTTTATTTATAACTGTGCCAAGTATTATTTTAATACCGTCGAGATCTTGATGTATTACATTGTGAACAAAAAATATCTGTAAAATGTTTAATAAATTAGCTCTCCTTACATAAATTAAATCCGTTAAATTTTGTAAGTTATTAATCAAATAAATATTGACTCGTAGGTGCAGTGTTTTTCTTGGCTTGGGACGCGATTCCGCGCGGAGGCTCCGTGCGGCCTCGGCAGCCGCCTCACGAGAACATGGCCGCCCCTGGCAGCGACCGGGTGCCTCAGGGAGGGCCTGTCCCTGTTCTGCGCTGACTTGGGGTCCTCTAAAACTTCTTCGTTGGGTTTCAGCAAGTTACGCCTTTGTAGCATGGATTATAAGTTACTATTGACTAGTTAGATAAACCTTTCCTTTGGCTGCAGTATGCTGGCAACATACCTGGTTTCTTAGAGGGGAATGGCTGGTAGGGTGCTTTTCAGGTGGCCAGATGTAGATGAATAGTAGATGAGTAGATACCTGAGATACTGTAAAGGTTAAACAAGGTAGCCCTGTGGGGCCAGAGGACATGGGGACCATGGCATGCACTTTCGGGGGAGGCACTTGGAGAAAAAGCAGAAATACCTTGGCTCTTCTGCTCTGTGCTAAAGGGCAAGTTGTAGTGGAAACGGGTAACCAGCCTAGCCCAAGCTTGCTGGCATACCTAGGGGCAGCAGTATTTATTAGTATTTAAGGCCAGGGCTTCAAAGCACACCTGATTAATAGGAGAGGAAAACCAGGTTTGCTTTGTGCGGGGCCTGGGTTTCTACTGCTTGAGGCCTGCCCCTTCGCCGGGGAGGCTGTGGGCTGGCTGCGGCCTGCAGCCCGCGGGGGCCGGAGAGCCGCCTCTCCTCCACCAGGGCCGCCCGTGCTGGCGGTCGGCGTGTGAGGGGCTCCCCACAGCGCACATGATGCGGGGCCCATGCACACTTGAAAGCTGGTTGTGTGCTTTGTTGTGTTTGGGGGGATGCCTGCCCTCTGCGCCCACAAGACAGCGTGATTACAGGCCTCTCCCTAGGGCTTTCCATGAACTGTCTTTACATGAAAACAGGTTATTTCACGCAGAAAGCATTGCTTGCAGGCAGGTCTTGCTACATGGGTTGTAGCCTTCTTGTGCCTCTGAAGGGGCATCAACTAATGGGCACCTACTCATTTCAGGTTGAATTTATTTGCATAACTTACACACTTAGCCTCATGTGCACATTGCCTGCGTTCCTGCGTATTACTGAAACATTTCTAGATGGTGAAACCAAAGTTGGTTTCTTTTAGAAACAGTGTGATCTTAAATTAGAGCTCCAAGGAGCCTAACGCGGGGCTTGACTCCAGCCTGAGCTGAGCACTTATTCACCAGTTGCTGCTGCAAAGCTGACAGTAACCAAGGGAAAGCACTTCAACACGAGTCACTCATCTCTCTTGACAAATTTGATGGCTTTGTGGTTATGAGTTTTATTTTCCCTTCTTTTTCTTCTCTTTTTTGTGGTTAAATAAAATAACTAGTCAGGATGCAGAGTAGTGTGGAGCTGTGAGTTAGTGCTGTGACTCCCCTCAGGAAAGCGAAGGAAAGCCCTTGATTTTTAGTGACTTAAATCACTACTTGTCATTTCTTCTGATTGTTTTCCTTTCCAAGAGCTGAAAACTCTTGTTTATAGCCCAATAAGCCGTGTGCTCTGTGCCAATTTTTGTCAGCACAAATCACACCCACCATCTCTGCTGCTGATGTGGCTATTTTTAAATGGCTTTCAGTAGTTCCAGCAAATAATGGGAAGCGGTTTCATCTGCTCAGGCTGTTAGGATTCTGCGTGCGTGCCGTGAGCATGATTTGGGGTTTTTTTGGATTTTAGCTTGAATAAATGTTTGTGATGAATTACTGCTTACCTGTATCTATGGCTTTTGAGCTGCTCTGGAAGTTGTATCTTTTTTTTTTTTTTTTCCCTGCTGTGTAACAACCCTCCTTCCCCTTTTTAAGCAGCGGGTTTTTCAGCTGCCTGTTTATGTTTTCAGTGCCAGCACAGGCTCACTAGTTGGAAGCCCGTCACAGAGCGAGGCATCAGCCTTTGGATAGGGTGGAAGAGTGGAGGTGAAGGCAGTTGTCCTGGCGAGCGCAAAGCTGACAAAATACGAAAGTACCTGCGTGAGGATCAGGAGCAGGAGCAGTCGGCCTGGGGGCTGCTCCTGGGGTAGCCAGGGCTGTTGTTCTGCCCTCTCCCACCCCAGCCGCAGGCTGTTCCTGTCACTGGTGCCGTTTTAAGCTGCTGGCCTTTCTGCCTGTGTGAGCTGCACAGCTCTTGGCTCACATTTTCATCAGGCTGTCTGTCCTTCCTGATATCCACATTGTTCTTTAATGACCCAAACAAAAACGCTCTTTGTGTATTATTTTGACTCATACATATTTTTCTAATCAGGCTTTTGGCTTGCAGGACCTCACTACCTCAGACTGCGGTAGTAGAAGTTCCTTGAAACTCAGCCTGAAACCACTTTCACATCGTTGATTACTACTTTTACTGTAGCATTCTCAGGCCTGAGAGTATCTCCATGAATTCACTCTGTGAATGTCTTTTTCCCCAAAGGTATCATGCTACTTCTGAAACCAGACAATGTTTTAGATCTTGTCTTTTGGCTTCTTAGCTAACTTCTGTTGGGCAAGAGTAGTGCAGAAACCAAACCTCCAACTGCCACCCCAAATTGCCTGCGTCCTACCTGCTGGCCTGAGCTCCTTCCTCCTCACCTGTGCCCCTTTCTCGAGGACTGAGCCCCAAAGTCCCTGTGGGGCAGCAGTGTCTCTGCCACTGCCAGGGCTGGAGGGACTCCTGTGGTAGCCTGTTACATGCTGGAGCATGTAATGTGGCTTTATAAACACTTGAACCCAGATCTCAACTGTCTCCTCCTCATGGTAGACCAAAGCTAGTCATAAGCTTCGCAGAAGAAAGTGACAACAACCTTTTGGCAGCAACCAGCTTTTCCAGATACTTGGGGAACTTCTTAGCTTTGGCTAGAAAAGTGCTACACTGGTCATGCTAAATACCAGCTACTCACAGAAAAATAAGCCAGCTTTACTTAAATTGGATGTTTTGGGTCATGATTCAGGCTTAAGCACCTCATTCTCACATGAAGCCCTGCGTTGGTCTAGTGCTGGGGCTCTGGGTGAGGAGGGGATTTGCATTTGCTTCCCAAGATGTGAAATAGCTTTGGCTAGGAAAGTGCTACACTGGTCATGCTAAATACCAGCTACTCACAGAAAAATAAGCCAGCTTCACTTAAATTGGATGTTTTGTGTCATGATTCAGGCTTAAGCACCTCATTCTCACATGAAGCCCTGCGTTGGTCTAGTGCTGGGGCTCTGGGTGAGGAGGGGATTTGCATTTGCTTCCCAAGATGTGAAATGCCAGGTGTAGCCAGAGCCCCTCTAGCACCACTCTCCGGGGGGTAGGTGTGTTCCAGCCCCTAAACACAGGCAAGCACTTGTGAGCTTTCCCCACAGAGAAAAGGACTTTTTTCCCTTTCCTTCTCATAAGCCTTTGGAATGTAGAGAGCTGCTCCTAATGAATAGTTGTGTTAGCAGCTGTGACCACACTGACCGTTAGGCTTTTGCACAACTGCTGTTTTCATGTGGGGTAAACTGACACCACACTGACATGCTCAAATGCTGTCATTCCTTGTCCATTCTGCCTGAATTCAAGTCACATTATCTGCTGGAATGCTCCAAGTATAATTTTATTCTCAGTTGCTAAATATACCTATTTTTGTCAGCGTGTAGGTAGGAAGTCCTCTAACTCAAACAGCTGAAATCCTCTGTGTCTTTAGAGAATTGAGTGTTACAACTCTGCTGGAAAAAAAAAAAGTCAAAAGCATCTCCTAAAAAAGAGTTGGTTGTTCACAAGGAAGGCAATTAGCCTACAGCAGCCTTGAAACACATACACCAAAAACGTATAGCAAAAACCTCAACATTGAGAGCTGCAATCCAACAACAACAAAAACATGCTCAGTGGGGGTTGCTTTCCCTTCCCTCGAAGCCATGTTAGAGACAGCAGGACATTTAAGCACACAGCTTCTAAAAACCCCTTTTGGAGTCGTGTCCCTGCCTGAACAGCTGGCTCAAGATCCGTCTCCCTCTACCCCAGGAGCAGCGTCGCTCTCAGGCAGTGGCCAAGCGCACCAGGTCCCTGCACGGAGCAGCGCGATGGGGGACGACAGTCCTTCTCTCCCTGCCCGGTGCTGTGAGCAGTGCTGTACGCTACACAGGGTTACCTGTAGTCGTGCCAGGTCCCATGTGTGCAGGGCGTTCAGCAGAGTGCTTTACCAAGTCTGTATCATGTCTTCACCACCACCCACAACACCCCGGGACCCTCCTTAGGCCTCAGCCTGTGCTTGAATCTAGTCCACACCTCATCTCCGCATTGACATTGTCCATAGTTGACAAAACACGTGACACCTCTTCTTAGGATACATCAACAAGCAAAGCTTTATTGAATTGATATACAGTATTAAAAGTGTTTAAATGTGGTAAATAAAGCAAAGGAGGGGGGAAGCAGTGGGGTTTTTTAAATATCTGCTAAAAAGTTGGCCCGTGTACTATAGTAAACTAGTTTCCATTTCATAGCAGTTAGTAACATTTGGGAAACTGCTTTCTTACAGGAGAGTCTCAGAAGAGCCATAAGTTGTGCTCGCTCACTGAGCGTGAACAAGGGCACCTGCTCCCTGGCCGTATCCAAATCCTTTGGGTCCAAAGTTCTTCGCGTAACAACCTGCAAGAAAGATGAACCTGTCGTAGCCGAGGCCTTGACCTAAGAGCAGCTTTTTCGAGGTTAAGCCACTCAGCTACTTCGCTTTAGGCACCAGATCATCAGAATCCAAAGCAATGCTCAGAAACAGGCATGTCAGTTTTTTCAGTGCTGCTGCTAGAATTTATGGAGTATTTCTACCTTGACAGCAGCTGCAATGTCTCCTTAAACCAGGAATAAATTCAGCATCTGCTTTTGTAACACCCACAGAGCCTGACCCATCAACAACTGCTCATTTCTTTGTTCACCTTTACAGTAGATTTCTCCTTCCTTCTCAGTTAGGGTTGTTGATTCTAGGCTCTTCCCACACTTGGCACATCGAAAGCAGTTTTTGTGCCATGGCTAGGGGAAAAAAAAAAAAAAAAGAGTTTAAGTACACAATCCTCAAGTTTGTTTAAAATATATATATATATATATATATAATAACTAGAAATGCCTGTATAAGTGTACATGAGAGACGCAATGAAAACTAATTTAAGTACACCATTAGCAGGTTGGAGCTGTATTTTTTGAGATGGCATACAGCTCTGAATTCCAGGCAGGAATGTTCAGGAAGTATTTGGAGAGGTTTGGATTTGCTCTAATAAATTTAGAGCGGATCTCAGCTATTAAGTACTAAGCCAGTCAGCTTTACGTGGTA